AGGTTTACTGGAATGTGGAACTCTCTTAAATTTCTACAGGCAAGCAAAGAGGTGGAGCATCTTTTTGAACTGTGGGGTGAATTCAAAGAAATAGCGTAGACTTCAAGAAAAGAAATCTATGTTTTTGATATCCCTTGATTTCAAAATGTAGGAATATTTTACCTTCACAAAGTAATGAATTCTTCCCCCTATTTAATCCTGTGCTATAGTTGTATCTTCCAGGGGCATGTCAGTATTTTTTTCTAGAAATGGTCGAAGTTCATAAACACAAGAGATTTCATGGCTGGGCTCCGTGAACGAAGATTTGGGGAGGGCTCTACCCACGTTTGTTGCAAGCGCGTTGGTGGCTGAAAAGGCCAATACGAGATAGGCATGTCTGGTTGCAAAAGGCACAGCAGAAAGACCCCTTAGATGGTAAATTCTGCAAGGCACGATTCTTTCTGCGATGTCTTTTCTCCTCAAGAGTGATCCTGCGTGTGTTCTCAAAAGCATCAGCAGTGTTATTGATGGTGTGTCTCCAGGCCTCCCGATTGGAGGCCAGAGTAGACCAGTTATGTTGATCAATCCAGAGTAGACCAGTTATGTTGATCAATCCAGAGTAGACCAGTTACAAGAGATTTAATCCCATTGTATTATCTCAAATATCAGAAAAATCAGAAGAATTTTCATCCTCGAAAAGTAATTTTACTTCAATAAAATTGTGGAATAAGATATGTTCTAAAATATATATAGCTCAGACTGGCCAAGTAAGGCAGCTATTCATGTGAATTTTTGCCCTTGAATGAAATATCCAGATAATAAACTGTCTTTCTGAGTTGCAGACAACCCCACACAGCCCTGTCTTCCTCTAAGAAATTAAAAATGTTTGTAATTATTTTCAAGGGAACTTATGAGACCATTTTGTAAAACAGATGTAAATACAGAATTCTCATTTTTCTATTATAAAGCTTGTGCGTTTGGGGCAGTTGCACTTTGATGTCCAGATTAGTGCCATTTTGATGTACAGTCTGAACTAAGATTTCTTCATTATGTGTGTCAAATTCTAACAGGTCTCTTCAAATAACAGTGTTTTTCATAGAGCAAATGTATGTATGTAGCATGTGACCACATGCATCTAAAGCTAAAGCAGCAATATAGGAAGAGGAGAATGGAAGTAGGTGGCTGATGTAAAAATATTATATTCTGGTTAGTTTCCAATCGGGTGACTGATAGTGTGGCTCCTGGTTTCACTACCATAAGACAAATTGTTCAATATATTTCAAATGTACATCCAATCTGATAGACATGGAATGTGAATTTAGGTACTTTTTCTCTGAGCAGGATCAATATGTCTGCAGCTGAGTGATGCCTCTGAAGTTAAATATTAATTTTTAATGAAGCTTCAGAATCAGTCACTTCACCTTTTTTTTTAAACTTCAGCTTGTTTCTAATAAAAAACAAGTTTGACAGATATTTATTTCAAATCACTTATCAGTGATGGTTCATAAGTCAAAAATAAGATGAGCTATAAACTTGATTTGTGATCAGCTTTTTTTTAAAAGGCACTGACCTGTCAACCCCTTTTTTTTTTTTTTTTGAGAGGAATATATCATTTTTGGTTAACTTTGTCTGGGATAACATTCTTGACTCTTAAGTGGGGCAAGAAAAATCTCAAAAAAACAAAAAAAGACAGTGAGAGAGGAGAGAGGGAGAAGTAAATCCATACATCAGTAGATAATAATATCCAGGAACTAAGATTCTTGCCAAGAGACTTGAGAATTCCCTCATTCAAGAATAGGAATCTGAGCACTCTGTTCCTCCTGTATGACAACCATGTTGATAAATACTACCTGGTGGGAAGAGGATTTTCTCTTTTTATTTTTAAACATATTCAAAAGAATTCTTGTTCTTTGCATGCAGTACAGAACAGGAAGTACTTTGAAGTCGTGGATATTTTTGTAGGACATGAAAATTATTGCCTTCCTGCATATATTTATTTAAAAAAAAAAGAATAAAAGGTATTCAACTTGTTTAAGAGACCAGATGAAGTTGTGAGTTTTGTAAATTTTGGGTGATTCTTGCTACTTAGTAAAAGTTTAGGAAGAAAGGCTTGAATTATGGTTTTGCTGTTCAGTTTAGTAGTTAACTGTGCCTCAATATATCTATCTGAAAATATTATTGCTTTGAAGACCCTCTTGAATAGTGAGTTTACCCAGTGAAGAAGTCATTCCATATGGTTTGAAGGACATGAAAGAGTTTATAGAAAACACATAAGTCTAGTCCAGAATTTCTGAACCTAAATGAGGATTGCAGTAACTCTGTGTGCCCATTAATGTTGCTATCTGTGGAGAGTGTGTACTTGAAAGGTAGAAGGCAGATAGAGAAATTCTCGCTTCTGCATCAGGTCACAGGGATCAATATGCCAGAACATATATATGTTTTCAGGCTAAGAAATAGATTAAATAACAGACACTAAAGGTGCTGATTGACTGAGGACAACTTTTAAGTCACCTTGGAAAAACCGATATTTTAAGCACATCAAGTTATTAAAATTATTTTCCTTGCCTGTATTACCCACATTCACAGTATTGTTCTACAGTCTCAAACTCTGGAATGCAGAATACCTAGGAATACTTTCACTTTTCCAGACAGGGGAAGGAATTAGCCCTGAGAATTGTGTTTACTTGTATTAAAGAGATACTCACAACAGTGTGAGGTTGATAGACATAAAAGGAATCCAACAATGGAATATGGATATTTCCCCCTGTTTAGAGATCTTAGAATTGTGCTGTCTTACAAGTATTAACTCTTACTGGCCAGAAATATTGGGAAGTTTCCCTTTAAAATAAGTGTATGACACAGTTTTGGTATATATTTGTTTTACTGTTGCTTAGAGGTTTTATGTATTCCTGGATGATGGGACAGAGTGCACGCTCAGCAAAACGGAAGGAATGGGAGACAAAGTAGAGAGCAGGGATGGTCTTCCAGGAGGCTTTGACAAGCTGGAGAAAGTAATGGAGTCCAGCAAAGGCAAATGCAATGTCTTGGTCTAGAAGTGGAATAACTCCTGGTTAATAACTGGTGCTGCAGTGCAGAACCAGGGGCTGACTAAGTAGGAAAAAGCTTTGCAGCAGTGGCCCTGTTAGCCCAGGTGGACAATAAACTGAGCATGAGTTGGCAAGGGTGAACTACACAGATCTTAAAATTTAGCTAGCACATCTGTGAGGGTGATCCTTCACAGCTATTTAGTATCTGTGAAGCCACACCTGGAATACTGTGACAAATTTTGAACTCTGCTGTACAAAAAGACATGGATTTACTCAACTGAGTCCAGTGCAGGGCTGGAAGGTGACTGGGGGATAGGACAGCTGAATTGGTGAAATCTGCATCCTTTGAGATGTTCAAAACATGACTGGAGGTCCTGACAACTTGCTCTATTGGACCTGCTTCCAACAGCTTCTTGATTATGATACATCAGATATGTGTCTAATTTATTATTTTCAGTAACATTTTCTTTGTTAAATTATTTTTTGAATCTCACAAGTTATGGGAAAATTAAACTGGGTAAAAATTTTATAACTTCATACTTCAGTTGAAGAATGATGTATCTGCATATATTAACAACATGGGTTGTGATTCTCTCCAAAGTCTGCAGTGAGAATGATTTCCCATAGAGAATAGAAGTTGTTGGAAGAAAAAACTGAAAGGATGTCTATGGATCAAATACAGTTCTTTTCCCACTCCTGAATTTTGATTCAGTGCTAGATCTGATGGGTCAACATCCCAGACATTTTCTGTAAAGCAGAAACATGAGTTCATAGTGCTTTCACCCTGTAATTATTGAAAAGTTGAAATTAATGCTGTATATTTTAAAGAAAGTTGATAATTTAATAAAAGAGCAGAAGAAACGTAGTGAAGAGAATGCAACTGCTGTTCCACTGACAGGAGATGAGTGTGTTTAGTAGATTAAGCCCATACACATATGGATATGTATGTGTGTGTCAGTAAGAAAACGAGCATTGATTTTGACGAGTTGAAGGGAACAAATATTATAGAGTTATATCAAAATGTCAAATGTATTTTAAATCTGTGACAGCCCATAATCTGTGTTAAAAACTGAAGTAGGAATTAATGTTGAAAAGCAAAATATCAAAACGTTGCAAGTGACTACAAAAGCTGGAACTTTCCCGTGAATATTTATTATCAGTATTAAAAAAAAAATTATCGTTCTCTTTTTTTCATATGACACGCACTCATCTGTCAGAGATAGTAAGGAGGATACTTCCTAATAGAAACAAAATTAGTAATAATCAATGTCACTTCTATGAATTAAGTATACAGATGATAAATCTAACAGAATAGCTGCACTATTCGGATGCATGGTTTGAACACACTTCAAGAACCTCTGGAAGGTTTTTGACCACTACAAAACACTTTCTATTCCACAATTTGCCTAAGTCTACCAATATTTCAGGGTAGATCAAAAGGGAGGAGAGAAGCCATCTTATTAGGATTCTTGACATTATTTTATTGTATCCATCCCTTGGATTTTGAAAACTGAGCCTTTTTCTAGTACTCCACTTTACAAAGTTTCAGTTTTGGTAATACCTTTTAAATAAAGTTTTCATAAACTATTCAAAATTGGTTTACAGTAGCATAGTTTATTTTATTTCTCTGTTAATGACTATATTTTATAGAGACAAAATTAAATATCACAACAAACTGTGAAGTGCTGGATAACATTTATGAAAATATAAAATTGTAATGTCAGTGCATGTTGGAGTTTTTTTGTGAGGGTTTAAAGAGATTACTTTTTTTAACACAAGTGCCTTTAATGCTGTAGCATGTGAAATATTCTAAATTTAGGTGCTATATTTACTGTCTAAGCAAAAATATTTACAGCTACTGAAGGTACGAATATTACTGAAATAAAAGAAAAACCAAAGCCTTCCTGAACCAATATAGGTGTGCTACTCAATAATAATCAGAACACTATATATGTGAATTTCTTTCTTTTCTAGCGCCACTAACAGATAAACCACCAAAGCTTTTACATCCCTTGGAGAGTAAGCTAACAATTCAGGAGACCCAATTAGGTAAGTAGCAAACGTAATCTCTGTTCAAATTGTATGAAGGTATTTGATGTGTTATTGTATGATGGTAATCTGATGGCATGTTGGCATTAATAATTTCATTGAAAAGACATTAAACATACTTTGTTTCCATGCAGAGATGCATCATAGAGCATCTAGAAGATTGTTGTTCCCCAAAAACATCTTAGTAATTAATATTGAACACTAATTTCTTGAATATTATTGATACTGGGTTTTAGGTTTTCTGAAAGTCAATAGTTATAAGTGAATCTGAACTTTTCTTTGTAGCTTCCCCTTTTCTGTATATGTATATATATGCATATGCATATATATTTACTGTGGGGTTCAGTGGGATTTTGTGATTTGCAAGACTTCTTTGCTTTCGTGGATGCCTACAGAATTGCAAAGATATTCTGTAATTATAAAGGTTGTCTTGGTCAAATCATCCAGCAAAGTTATTTTACCATAATAGCATCTGATTATTCTAAATGTAAGAATATTTATGCATAGATCAATCAAGAGAAATTGATGCATGAAAAAAACAATTTTGTTTCACTTTTCTAGAATAGTGGATGGTGGGTATGTTTGGTCACTTTAGTGTCCCACTGCTGTAGAGGTAATTAGGACTCTAAGTGCATAAGTTACTACAGTTTGCGGGATATAACAGTCTGTCTCTTTCTTGGATTGACACAGACAGTAACTTGTAAGAAACCAAGAGTCCTCAGTAGGTCACTTTGGAATTATGCTTTGGTGTCAGAATAGTAACCTATTGATAGATGTTCTAGAATGTTAGTTACAGAAGAAAATGGGTACAAATATGGTGGTTGTCTAAATCTCATAGGAAAAAAAATACAGAAAATAAAACTCAGTACATTCTGCAGCACACCATCAGAAAAAGCAGAAGGCTTAAAAATTAATTCTGACAGTTGTTGGCAGAGCATTTTATGGTGATTGCCACATTGTGGTTAATAGTGGCCAGAGAATAACTCATCTTTTCTTTGAAATTAGTAAACTATTACTTTAAATCATTCATACTATTCAGGTAATATTCTGAAGTGCTGATATACAGTTTTTTCAAAAACAATCATATAGAAAAGGAGAAATGTAACGTTTCCTTCTAGAGCTACTTTCTGTTCTTCTGAAGATATTGGTTCTGATATGATGACTCAGAAATCTTTTCCTGTATGACAGTCCTATATGATTTTATGTTATTGTTTGTATACAAGACTAGAGAAGAGAAAGCAAAATGATCTACGCATTTGTTTCTAAACTAGTGTTGCTTACTGAAATATTTTTGTTGAAAATAAAAACCCCAAAAGGCAGAACTTTTCTGGGCTTTGATGTTGTCTTGCTAAACGTACTGCATGGTGAGACTATTTCAAGAAAAGTGTAATTAGTAATGGCTAGCCAGAGGCTTTTTGTCTATGACGTTTAGAATTAATCTCAGTTTTGATTTCTCATAGTTCTAAAAAAACAGATTAAACAATTTGAAAAGAGCTAGGTTTGAAAAAAGATCCTATTCAGAAAACTAAATAGCTGTTGATGAATATGAAAGAGTTAACTTGAAAATGTCACTTTCAGACACAGATGGGAAAATCTGACCATAAATGAATGTGAATCTACAGTACTTAACCTTATGTCAAGAAGTTACAAGAATATATTAATTTGTTGTTTAAAAGCCTGTGAAATAGCCTGTGAGAACTGGAGCAAGTACAAAAAATTGATAGTTCCCTCACACAGAAATTGTGTTGTTCCACTCTTTAAATTTAATGCCTTAGTCCTGCTGGATAACCTTTGAAAGGTCTATGTTTCCCTTAAGAAAGCCAGTTCTGGGGGCCAGTTCATACCTTGCAAAAAAATGCAGAATATTTTATCATCAGAATAATGCTGAAATTCACTTAGATGAAACTTGGGTGCCTACCTGAGTCTTGGGGTGACCACATGTTGCAGACTGGTCTAGACACTGCCACAAAATATGTTAGTCCTCTAGAATGTGTTTGGGATGATGTGTTTGTCCCTTATCTGGAAAACAAACGTTTTAGTGGAAGCTGGAGAAGTGGAAAAGGTGGCAATCCCATTCCAAAAGAAAAGAGAGAGTAAGGAACTGGGAGCTTGAGGTAGTCTGGGATTTCATTAGCAGGTCACCAGCCGGTGCAGTGGGGAGCTGGGACAATCCCCACTCTTCACTCACATTTCTGTCCTTCTCACTTTGCAGTCCTCTGTCCTGAGTCAGAAATGAAGCAGGTTGCACATGTCAGGGTATGCTCTGGGAGGTGCACCCCTAATTTATAGGGATATGTGTGAAGCTGCAGGTGCACATAGTGTACTAAAAAGTCAGTACTGATGGCTTACCTCCGAATCTTCTCCTGTGGAGTGGTGCTGGGCACACTGTTGAGGAAGGCATCAGTAAGTCCCGAGGGTTTTCTGCTGAACAAGCTACTAGAGTTCAGTACTTAGACAGGGCACCTCCATTTAGTGTCTAAATCAATGTGGGAAGGCTCCCATGAAAGATATGAAAAGACATATCTTTTTCATTTGGCTCCAGCACTGCTGAGTGATAGAGATATTTTACATTTATCATTGGGATATATTGGCTTCTTCTGTATACCAGCAATTGAAATTAATATCATGGGACCACAGACCTGTTGTGTTATTTTGCATGGTTTCCATAAAACAGCATCACACTGAAAGGTGACTGCACACTAGGGAAGGAGTTTCTCTAAGGGGTGACTGAGAGAGTGTTATGGCATCAGCTTGCTGCAGTTTGAGTTGATAAGACAAAAGGAAAGAAAAGAGAGCTGGAGAATCTGCACACCTCAATCCAGTGAACGTCCCATCCCTCTCAAGTTGTCCACAGTTAGTTGTGGAAGAGATACCATGCTACTCAACTGATATCTGAGAGTGTTAAGCATGGCTGTACTGAAATGAGCAACTTTAGAGAGTCACAAGTATCTTGAGATCTCATCAGAAATATCTGTTTATTACACTGAATAGTAACTAGAAATGCATAAGATAGAAGCACAGGATAAAAATTGAAGAAGTTAATTTCTCAAAGGTTTTTCATATAAAATCCCTATGGGACAGGCAAAGAATTAAGCAGAGAAACATAGATGAGGAAAGAGGGATTAGTTTCCAATTTATCCTGTTCTGCACTTAATGTTTTTTGTTATTTCACTTCCAATTTTGTAATCAATTGCTTAATCCCGTTGCAGGGGTAAAAACACTCCTTTTTAAGCTTTTCTGCTGTTAAAGGGTTTTTAGGCAGTGGTGGTGACCTCAGTATAAATTTCTTCTCTGGAAACAACCACTCCAGATAAAATATTATGGTAAATACAGTCTTCAAAAGATTGCATCCTGCAAAGCTTGGAGCTGTAAGAAGATGAAGAGTGTTTCCCACTCAGCTGTGAGCCACTCTGTAGTCTGGTAGCAGCATATGCCAGGGAGGGGAGAAAAGCTGGCAATCAATGGGAGGCCAGGGGAGGCAAGGCAGGGTAATGAAGAACATAATGACCTAAGGAACTGCATACCACAATATTCTTCCTCTTACCTTCTACAGGCTAGCAAAATCAGATAAACAAATCCCTGCTAACATAAACCCTTCTCGTAATAATAATAAAAGCACAAACTTTTTCATTCAGATTTGTTTAGAAAGGAATTTATTAACATTCTTTCTTACATACAAAAAATCCTAAAACTTCAGGCAACTCTATTTTTAATTCTAGATTCATGTCGATCTTATATATTTATGATATAAATATACAATATCCATGATATGTAAATTTATATAAAAATATGTTATGGTTGTGGGGTTTTTTTTGTAATTTCTGAGTTTTTTTAAATTCATCCATCTTTCAGATGAATCTGATTTTTCTTCCAGAACTGTCCCATATCTGTCCCTCTCAAGGTAACAAAGAATATTTGAGACAATTTGATTTTACTATCCAGTTGGTTCATCTCATGTTACTAAAGAAGACAGATATGATTCCACAACCAACAGTAATGGATCTGAATTAAAAAATTACAAAACATGAAAAAATTACTTTAAACACCTCACAAGGTAGTTAGACATTGTTCTCCCCAATTTTTTTCATTGTGTTTCCTGGTTCTGCACAAGGCTGTAATTTGACATGCCAAAATTCACCTAGAATAATAAAGCTATTGTTGAATTATTTTTAGCTAGCCTTGAAGTTAGAGAAGGGAGGAAAAAAAAAGGAATAAAAGATTTCCAACGTTTTATGAATGGACCTAAAAGCAAAGTTTGTACAGGAACCTAAACATTTTCTGTGTTGTCTGAATAAAGTGAATTTTCCTGAATATCATCCAACACAAAAATATTACTCTTGTGACCAAATATGCAGTGAATGTCTGTTCATTTTTATCTAAGGCATTATTTTGATAAAGTTAAACCATTACATAGTGAATTGGGGATTTCTTCTTTCTCCCCCTTTCCTGAATATATTCAAGAAAAAAATTGATTAAACTATTTTTAATAAACTATTTTTAAAGTAATAATACAAAGAAGCTCCCCATCAGGGATGGAAGAAGGCTGCTTCTTTTATAGTACTGTCTAGTCATAAAAATCTTGCACACAAATTTGCCTCATTAAAGATAAAAACACTCCTTAACTAGTTTAATCAGTAGATGTATAAATAAATTAACTAAAATGATATTGAATAACTAGCAATCAGTGACTCCTTTCAGGATGGAAAGGGAAATGAAAGAATAGAGAAAATTACAGATTTTATCTCTACACATTTCCTTTAAATGTTATATTCACTCTGTAAGAGGAACATGGTTTTTTTCATTATATAAGGAATTTTAAATATATCCAATTACACCATCATCTTTTAAACCAATTTGAACTTTTTTTTGATCATGTGATTCAATTAAACACTTTGATATATTCTGTTGTTAGATTAACATAGTATGGGCAAGAGTTTCATATGACAATTAAAAAAACTGTAGATTCATGATTTACTTCAAACTAATCATCTGTTTTTATT